CACAAATGCCCTTGTTCTGGCACTTTGCACAGCCGTTTTGGTTGCTTGTGTTGGGATGTTGGTTTACATCCTTCCATCTCTGTGCTTTTTCATACCATTTAGGTGGGAGGAAGAGAGGTACACAGATGGCGTGAAATGGAAGTTTTTGGAACACAAAGGGCCTGTATTTGCGCCACCATATGAGCCTCTTCCCAGCAATGTCAAGTTCTATTATGACGGTACGTCCTTTAATGACTCAATGGCAGTTCACAAGGTGGGTAGATCATCCTATTCAGGGGTTGCTCTGTTTGGACTGCCATCAAAACTCGGAGAAGCAGGTGTTGGGTTGCGTAAACTTCAGATGTTTTAAACACCTCTGTTATGTTGAACACACATGCCCTGTCTGTGTTTTGTTTCCGTTTGTCCGTTAAAGACAATGTAGATTTTTCCAACCAAACTCAAAGTTCTTTATTCTGGATGTTGACCTTTATCTTCTATAACTGGCTTTACTACATTCAGATGTTAAGGCTTTAATAACTTTGAAAAGTCCTGATAAAAGATGGATTCTGTTCTTTTGCTGCTGTTCTCAAACTGCTTAATTGATATTTTATGGTCCGTCACCAGGAAAACACATGAAACTCAGCCCTGGTGCAGAGGAAGTGGCCACCTTCTTCGCAAAAATGTTGGACCATGAGTACACCACTAAGGATGTTTTTCGGAAAAACTTCTTCAAAGATTGGAGGAAGGTAATGTTGACAATCTGTCATCTTTCCCCCTTGCTTTTTAAATAATTGCTTATGACTTTTATTAATCTTGCACGATCTTGTCACTTTAGGAAATGACATCTGAAGAGAAATCCAAACTCGCAGATCTGAACAAGTGTGACTTTTCTGAAATGAGTGAATATTTCAAAGCTCAATCCGAAGCCAGGAAGGCCATGACTAAAGAAGAGAAACTGGTACGGTTTTACCTCTAATTTCTAAAATGAATTTTGGTGATATTTTGGCATGTTTTGTTTTTAGTACTTTTTTTTTTTTGTTTGTTTTTTTTTTCCTTCAAGAAAATTAAAGAGGAGAATGAGCGCATTCTGCAGGAGTATGGCTTCTGTGTCATGGACAATCACAAAGAACGCATTGCTAACTTCCGTATTGAGCCTCCAGGCTTGTTCCGTGGCAGAGGTGACCATCCGAAAATGGGCATGCTGAAGCGTCGTATCCGTCCTGAGGACATTATCATTAACTGCAGCAAGTAAGGAGTGCTCATCACAGTCCGACATCAGTCCATTTGGTTTAAAACATCTTTACATCATGTGCTTCTCATTGTAGGGACTCAAAGCATCCTAAACCACCACCTGGGACAAAGTGGAAGGAGGTGCGTCATGACAACAAGGTGACGTGGCTGGTGTCCTGGACTGAGAATATCCAAGGCTCTATCAAATACATCATGTTGAACCCCAGTTCAAGGATCAAGGTAAAAATTAGCACATGACTGAAGGCATGCTATTGAAATAGAATTTGGGTTTTCTAAGCACTGATTTAGCCAAGGATTGTATTTCCTCTTATTTTGTCCCACTTTATATCAAGTGGCCTTAACTACTATGTACTTACATTTAAATAATAATTTGATACAATGCACTTATTGTGTACATACATGTTTTTACAGTGTACTTGTATTTAAAAAAAAAATAAATACCTGCATGTAATTGCATCTGTTTATGTAATTACATTTATAATTACACTGTTGACCCATCCCTTACACCTTAACCCACTCTTAAACCTACCCATACCACCAAACCTGTCCCTAACTTTACCCGTATCCCACCTCAATAGCAGCAAAAGTGTTTTGCAATACAATATGAACACAATAAGTACATTGTACTTATTTTTTCATGAAAGTACATAGTAGTTAAGGCCACTTAATTTGAAGTGGGACCAATTATTAATTTTTAAATTTTTTGGGGGATTTTCTGTTGTTGAATAGAAAGATCAAAATCGTTTGTAAAAATCTGATGCGATTTAATGCATTCTTGCTGAATAAAATACTATTTTTTTTTATTTTTTTTTTAATCTTTAAAAACTTACTGACACCAAACTTTTGAACTGTATTGTACATTGGTACCATTTCTGCCTTTGTAAAGTCAGTTTAACCAATAAATCTTCATAGACCGTTGTATAGATATTAGCCATTTCAGTTTCTGCCATAACATGAAAATAATTATTGGTTTTGGCCATAATTTTAATATTGGTGTATCCCACGTGTTGTTACTTGCAGGGAGAGAAGGATTGGCAGAAATATGAAATGGCCCGTCGGTTGAAAAAGTGTGTGGATCGGATCCGTGCGCAATACCGCGAGGACTGGAAATCAAAAGAGATGAGGATCAGACAGCGTGCTGTTGCTCTTTACTTCATTGACAAGGTTTGCATTGCTTAGATCAATGTAACATCCTTCGCGTCAAGCCCATGACCCTGAAAGCTTGTGATGAATAGGTTAATTCAAAATTACTCTTTAAAAGCACTTATAAAGAGTAAAGTGCATTTGGTTCAGTTAATCTTTTTTTTTTCTTTTTCAATGGGCGTACATTTACTGTGATGTTTGTAGTATCTTTTTGAGCTAATGCAGAAGTTGAAAAGCAGAACGGTGTTATGCATCTCCATTTTTCTCTGGTGTAGCTGGCTCTGAGAGCAGGTAATGAAAAGGAGGAAGGAGAGACGGCTGACACAGTGGGCTGCTGCTCACTCAGAGTGGAACATCTAACTCTCCATCAAGAGATGGACGGCCAGGAGTATGTGGTGGAGTTCGACTTCCTTGGTAAAGACTCCATTAGATACTACAACAAAGTCCCCGTAGAGAAGAGGGTAAGTTGTAGTGTTTCTCCCCCCACACTCCCTACAGAGACGACGTTTTAAGGCATCAAAAGCACACCTCTGAAGGCTCATTTTAGTTGAATTATAAGACCGTATCGCATGTATTCTTCAGATTAGGTAAATCTTGTAAGTTATTGCAAAAAGTTGAGTTTCCCCAAGATGGTGGACAAGGAAAACTAAATGTGGATTTATAAATACTTAATTAAATATTGAAAAGCTTACGCAGAGGTCCGCAGCGCTCTTGTGTGTAGCACAGATTGCTGAAATGGAGCGTTCCAAATCAGTCGCTTAAGAGGTTCCTTTTCGGTTAGGATGCTGCCTGAGGCGTCTCATTAGGTTTTGGAACAGAGCTAATATATCCGAAACTCTGCAGCCCATGTCCTTACACCAAAAAAATTTTCTGCAACTTTACAGGTTACTAATTGCATGTAATCAAGTCCTATTTACAGTTTTTAAAGCTTGTCACAGTCTAGCACCACAATATGCAATAGAATTGATTAATTATCATGCTGTTGTATGCAGTCTGGATCTTTGTTGCCAAGTTATTAACTGTTACTGAGTTTTGATTGTGCTACATGTGTAGTAGATGCCACGTGAAGATTCGTGTTCCCATATTTTCAAAACTCAAATTCATTGGCTTGTCGTTGCTCAGTTTGTTGCTTCTCTACAGTCATCAATTCATGCCAGTTTTTGTTTTTTTTTGTTTTGTTTTTGGTTATGGTCTTTTGTTGTTCTACATTGCAAATGTCCTTGGGTTTGTGAAAGGCACTGTATAAATCAAATGTGGTTTTCAAATTACTGGTGTACAAATGAAAAAATGTTCATCTGAGTGCTATTGATTAGCACAGATGTGTTGGTTCTGTCTTTTGTGTAAAATCCTGTTTAAAATGTTACAGGTTTTCAAAAATCTTCAGCTGTTCATGGAGGACAAGGAGCCGGAGGATGACCTCTTCGACCGTCTCAATGTAAGCCATCGCTTTCACCAGTCCGTTATTTATTGCTTGGAATGAAAAAAACAACCTTAAGCTGAATGCCTTGAATTAAGACAATGTATGTAACATGAATGTAAAATGACTTCCCTCTCTTGCAGACCTCTATTTTGAACAAGCATCTTCAGGAGCTGATGGATGGACTTACGGCTAAAGTGTTCCGTACTTACAATGCCTCCATCACACTACAGCAGCAGCTGAATGAACTCACAACCTGTAAGTACCGTTCACCGTATGTAAAGAGGATAGAGTTAACAGACCCGGTCATGATATGTACAGTATGTGACCTCAAGTGTATTTGTTCAGCTGAAGACAATGTTCCTGCAAAGATCCTTTCCTACAATCGTGCTAACAGAGCAGTAGCCATCTTGTGTAACCACCAGAGGGCACCACCCAAGACGTTTGAGAAGTCCATGCAAAATCTTCAGACAAAGGCAAGAGACGTTTGTGACCTTGTCCTCCTTGTCTTTATGCTGGTATTTTTTTTTTTTTGTTAGTGCAGGGTCTGTTGGACCATCTAAATGTTTGCCTTTCCTGCATTCACTTGTTCATTAAAACCAGATTGATGCAAAGAAGGAACAGCTTGCCGATGCTAAAAGAGAACTGAAGAGTGCCAAGGCTGATGCCAAAGTACGCAGAGATGAAAAATCCAAGAAGTGAGTGTCAAAATATTTGCTTGAAGGGGCGCCCAACTGAATTTGGCCTTTTAGATGCTCATTGTGCGTTCGTATGTGATTGTATGCTGCTTTGATGTTGGTTGTTTTGGCAACCCAGGGCCGTGGAGTCCAAGAAGAAAGCCGTGCAGAGGATCGAGGAGCAGCTGATGAAGCTGGAGGTACAGGCCACCGACCGGGAGGAGAACAAGCAGATCGCCCTGGGTACCTCCAAGCTCAACTACCTGGACCCACGTATCTCAGTAGCCTGGTGAGATGGCGCTTTCATATGTCGTGCAGTAAGATGCCCCTTGTCTGTTTCGGTGTCTTAATCCTTTTTATTCTTTCCTCCTCCAGGTGCAAGAAGCTTGGCGTCCCGATAGAGAAGATCTACAACAAAACTCAGCGTGAGAAATTTGCCTGGGCTATCGACATGGCTGAGAAAGACTATGAATTTTAAATCCTCTTTGCAATTTTACTTCTCCCTCCACCCCATAATTTTTTTTTTTTTCAAATTTTTTTTTTTAATAGATACTTTTAGTCGAAGTGATTTCCAGCAGGTTATGAACCTGGCAAGGGAAAAGATGTGAAGCAAGCATAGTGTCGAGGAGGCCTGAATGTCATGATTTGGGTGACTGATTTTTATTTTTTTTAGGCTGTGACCTGTAAATCTTGTAGGTTTTATTGGGTCGGTCTTTTAAGAATGAAGTATGGACGGCCTGTGCATGAGGTTGCATGGTCTTTAAGCCAGGAACTGGAGAATCAGTGGCTTGACCTTTTGAACACTTTTACTGTCTCACTCCCCTCCCATCTCTGGACAACGGGGCCTAAGGATGTCTGAAAACTATGAACTTACATGGTCCTATAGCTACTGTATTCAACTACAACTTGCTTTGTGGATCGTTTCATATTTAGTTTTGCTGTATTTTTAGCCCTCCTGTATTAATAATGAATTCTATATTTTAATAGAAGATTTAAAAAAAAAAATCAAAGAATTGCTTAAAGTACACCCATACGCCTTTTTAGGAGAATAAATGTGTACACCAGGTGTGATATTTTATGGGAAATATGACCACGAAAAGCTGTGTGTTTAAGTGAGTGTTACATGAACTGTTCACTTTGAAACTGGAGTTATTGTGTAAACTATGTCCAGACCACAAAGTAGGATGCTTGGATGAGCTGCAGGTGACTACGGCTTCAACGATATTTCCTTAAACATGCAGAATGTGAATTTCTTTTTTGTTACAGCATATATATCAGGGTTTTGTTTCCAGTGTAAATGTGAACCAATTTCTTTTCTTTTTTTGCCTCCCTTTTTGTCTCCAGTATCCTATAGATTGTGTCTTCATGGCTTTGAGTCTCCATCTGGGTTTAACTTAATGTGTGATGACTGTATCCATAAGATAAAAAAAAGAAAAAAGAAACTCCTGTATCTGTTACTTGAAAATATCACTATTAGGATGTATTATTTCAGGGTATAGCAAAAGGGTTTTTATTTCTGAAGGGTATGTGAGGGAAATCAACATTGCCAAAAACAAATTCTGTTATGATTTTTGAGCAGTTTATTTTATTTTTTGTAATTGTATCAAGTTTTAAGGATAGACTTGTTTTAACATGGACTTTAAGAATCTTCATTTTATTTCCACTCCAGTCTGGGAAGAATTGTTGTTAGTGGCAGCCATGTAACCTTTTCCAACTTATCGAGCTCATGCCATAACCTCTGATCATGTTTTTTTTATTTTTTTGCTCAATTGTAGGTTATTTAAAAATAAAACCCTACAACTTAACCTGCATGTTGTGTTTTTGAAGCCAAATCCAAATGTCTTATTTCGTCTTCCACATGCCATAATGGGTGAGATTTTGCAAAAACTTAATGCTTTAAGATGCGTTACACTTAGAATAATGGGTTGAAGAACTTCCTGTGTTCCCAGAACCGTGTGAAACGAGCACCGAGTCTTGCTTTGAGAACAGGCCTCAGGAAGAACTCCGAGGGGGAGCGTAAAAAGACCCTGCCTGTTTGTCTTGGAAGAATGGCCTGTATGATGTATTAGCCAAGCTGTAGACTTAGGCAAGGTTTCATTCCTTTTGAAAAGTGCACCCGGGACCTCTCTGTGACTCTTGCGTTCAGGAAGGTATTCTAATCATTTATTTTCTCAAGATGGTTTTCTTCTGCTCCCTCTTTGTTTACGCGACAGTGTGTTGACTGTTTGCATGTGCATCGTTTTAGCCCAAGAAAGCTGTTGAAAGTTTCTTTAGAATTGGTCTCTGCTAAGTTGTGTATATCTTTCAACGGCATGAAATGCATTCAAGACACCAGTTCTTAAATTTGACATTCTCCATTTATTACCAAAAGATTTGCAATGTGTAGAAAGTATAACACTCCAGTGCACTGTGTTCTTTTAGACAGACCTGCACAAAGGGAACTGATGGGAAGGTAATACTGTAAGTCCAGATAGTATCTTTGTGTTAACTTTTAAAAGAGAAACCACATTGGATACAAATGCAAATAATAAGGGATGAAAAGCACCTGTTATTCACTTTGGATGGTCTGAACTTAGCAGCATATAAATGATGCATAATGTGTGTGTGTGTGTATATATATATATATACATACTATATATATTTATATATCGTAGCCCAACTCAAACACAGGGAATATCCAGATAGCGGAGCACTTGAGCTGACTGTCTGAGAACTGTAATACCCCTCGGATTGTACGCACACTGTTTTAAACTTTCTCCACCATAAATTAACATTTCTTTTTTTTTTCTTTTTAAGCTTTTCACATATAATAGTCTTGTTAATGCTTATAAAATAAAAATAAAAACGCCTCCGAAGATATAGCAGCAGTTCTGTTGGGATTTCAAATCCTCAATTTATACACACATCAACACAGTTGCTGAAAAGCTTGTTTGTGCAGCCAGTCATACAAATAGAAAGGTGACGTTTAAGGCAATGTCTGGCCAATTAGTTGTGTGTGCAGACAGACACCACTAAAGCGAGTTATAGTGCATGATTTGTCGCCAACTGCTCAATGTTGTGTGAAAAAATAAGCCATGGAGAACTTATTTGATTTGGACATGAAGGAAAAACAGGTTGGAATATCCCAACGACTATCGTAAAACCCAAGGCATTGCAGAAGTGTTGATTATCTGACATATTACAAAGTATCACAATATCTAACTGACATTCCTAACGTCCAGTACACCCTCAATAGTGCAGTTTCAAGCATATACATAATAGTTTCCTACACAGAATTTACCTAAATCAAATCAGACCTACATTTGTAGTGGCTACTCTCTAGATTGGGCCACCTTCCGAAAACTCAAGTCCACTGACTATCACAAATGTGTTACAATCTCATCGGCTGTCATATTGAAAGAAAACAAGAAATGTAATGTTCAGGATGAATACGGGATCCTCGGCTTCTTCGCTGCGCGGAGTGAAGTCCTTAAACTTTCAGAAGCTCTCCTCTCAGACAGTCCCTGTTGGAGAGAAAAAGATGTGTAAGACCAGCCAAACACAACGAACAGCATCACACCATGAACTCCACAAGAGATCTGAGAGTCCGGCACTTTGCTACACACAATTTTCATCATTTATTCACGTTAAGACACACTTTGAGTAAATCTATAATTCATTAGCTCTGCCTTCACTAACGCCAAAAATAGCCTTTTAAATAAAGCACATAATCATGTGCGTGGCCGTGACTAATCAAAAATAAGTTGATCAAAAGGCCAAATGTTGTTAATATGCACATAATTTAATTCACGTTTCCCAATTAAACTAATTTTAAAATTTGCACTACTTTGATTACCTTAAACACTGTTATGTGATGTGACAATCCAAGAGTAGTAGACAGCAATTGAAGACTCAACAAGTCAGTTGCTAGAAAAACTACAATGCGTCTCTTGGGAAGACACTTAAAATTAGCTGTTTTTATTTTTCTCAAATAACCTGATCAATGGTCCATCAATGGTCTGCAGCCATTACCTTGATTGACTGTCTTGCGCTTGATGCCCCCTCAAACTCTGGTTGCCCATTGGTTGCTGATGCTGCTCATCTTTTATCTCCCAGTAGTCTTGTTCTCCTGTAGTTGGTTTGTCTAAATCCATCGTAGCCTCCTTTGATTTTTTCTTTATCGGCAGCATAGGAGTTTCAGAGTCTAGACTCTGAAGAATAATTTTCTGCTCCGGGCGTAGATCGCGGTTAACTTGCTCTGTTTCAAGCCCCACAAGGTTTTCTGGTTGATGTGGTTCAGTGTTACTTATATCAGATATACGCTCCTCAGCCTCCACCGGTACATGCCGGTAGCTTTCGTGCCATTCTGAAGACTGGTTTTTATGGCTGGGACCACCATCATTGATCAAGTTCTCCAACGGCTTGCTGATTAGCTGCTTGCTGTTGGTCTTGTACAAACTCTCTTCTTTGTTCAATGCTATTACGTTTATCTTCATAGGGCTCACATTCGGCTCTTCATGATAGTCACTGTTGCTTTCCCATTGGTCCACTTCCTGTATGTATTGTCGTAAAAGTGGCATGCCTTGTTTAGCCTTGTTAGTGTTATCTTTTGTGAAGGTATGTAGTGTGTTAATTAGGTTGCTATGCTCGTTCTTGTCAGCCTTGTAAAACGTATTTGTAATTCCGCTGTGCTGTTCAGCTCTGCTGTTTTGCGCTATGTTTCTGTGCAATCTTTCTCTATCAAAATGTGATTGCTTACAGTCTTTGTCTAAGGCAGGTAAGTGCTTGGGGTCATGTTCCTTGTAGTGGACAGCAGTAAAGTCTGTGGACTTGACCTGAGGTGCTCCCAGCAGGGTTTTTGGAGAATGTTGCTCCTGAGGAGCAGAAAGGGATGGAGAGGAGTGTTGACTTGTTTCCTCCTGAAGACATGAACTTGCTGAAGGGCTAGACTGAAGGGAGCTCTGGGGCATGTTATTAAATGATCCCCCCACAGCAGACTGGGAGTCTGTCAAAGAACGTATGTGGTATGGTTGACCTTGGGGTGCAATAAACTGCTTTTGTTCTGGGAATGGGTTATGGATAAAGCTTTGCTTCAAAGTCACTGGTTGCTCAGGTAATACCTTGCCCTTTCCAAGGGATGGATCCATGAGACTTCCAGGCTGTGGAACCAGGCTATGGGTAAGGGGTGGTATAAATTCTTCAGCTTGTATGTTGCTGCTGCTGCTACAAATGACACTAGTGTCAGCGTTGCTTTTGCTGGTGTGGTCTAAGATGTTTCCCTCCCTTTTAGTGCAAATAGTACTGTGGCTGGTGCTTTTATAAGTGCTTCCGTTGTTATATTTGCTGGTGGTGGCAAAGCTGTTGCTGTTTTCTTTCGCATTACTGGATGCCTTCTGTTGGCCATAAATGGAAGTTGGACTGATGTTAGATTTGCTGGTGCAATTTGCGTTCCTGTCATTGATATGACAGTCAATTTTCCTGACTATGTTCGTCAGAGTCATAATGCTGCCCTCACTGTAACTGCTGTTTTGACTTTTGGGAACGCCAGGCAAGCAGCTAATGCCAGTCTTTATGGACGAGCTGCAGCCAGCTTCACCTTTTCCAGTGTGTCCATGATTGCTAACGCTGCCTCCTCTGCCTACAATGTTGCAGTTCTCAGCTGTCCGACAAGATAATTCATTTCCAGTTTCCTTAGTGATGACAGCATGATGGATATTTACCTGTGGCGTTTGGACCACTGGCTGCTGCTGCTTAAGGGATGTGGCCTGGGTCACACTAGGATGGCTGACTATGACCCCTCCTTTCCAACCCATTACACTTCCCTTTGGTATCTGTGGTATATAGTTAGAACTCAAAGAGTTGGACTGGACAGAAACACAGTGCTGGGAAATGGGGTGATGCATCTGGTTGCGTGACGTTTTTGTTGTGGCTTGGAATACAGTGTTGAACATCTTTCTACGTGTGTCCTCGATCTCCTCAGGAGACCAGCTGATCCCTTGCTTCAGCCTTTGGGCCGTGAACCAGAGCTTGATCTGCTCCTCTGGGAAGCCAGAGACCACCGTCAAGTAACAGAGCTCTGCTTTGGTAGGGTAAGGGAACTTACCAAAAGACGTCTTAAGAAAACTGCTTAAATCCATGGCTGGATCATAGGTTGGGATGCTACTTAGAGGGATCATGACCTTTGGGAGATCAGTGTTCAAATCAGGTGATGACGGAGTAGAGTTCCACAGAGGACCACGGTTATGCATCCCTGGTATCCCAAGCGTGTTGGGGATTTTATGGACCGGAGAGGCACTAATGCCACCGATGATATGTGGTGATGTTGTTAGGGGTAAGGTCCTTACTGAAGTGCCATTGGTTACAGTTGCGGGCTTGTTGCTGCTAGGCTCAGCCCGGTGTACCTCAACAGTATGGGAGACAACAATTTTTTTGTGCCCACCTTTGGTCATTTTCATTATGGGTGTCTTGGTAATGGATATTCCGGATTCACTTAAATCCTCTTCTGTAAACAGGGTTTGCTCCACTGTGATAGCCCCATCTCGTCTGGTAACCTGCAAGGAAACTCTCTTGTGTGCTGCATGGAGTTCAGGATGTGATTTTGCGTTATGTAAAGCGAGGCCTTCAAACTTCACAGCTGAAACCTTGCAAGGCAGGCAGTAGAAGTTTGGTTGAGCATGAAAGTCCATGTGACAGTTGTCCATATGGTGAAGAAACAGGTTCAAGTCTCCGGACTCAAAGCAGCACAGAGGGCAGCTATATATTCCCCTTTCCCAGCATGAAGTCTTCGGTTCGGCTTTTGAGAAATCATGGAATCGTTGTGTATCCTCATCTTTTGAAGAGATACTAAGGATGCTGTCTTCGGGTATTGTGGGCAGGAGCTCAGGTAAGCATCCTAGTATGATGTCCTCCCGCATGTGCTTGCTTTTTGATGGAATCATACAGGGAACGGTGGATTTCCTCTTGCTGGCCATAGTATAGGATTGTGCAGATGAGTGAAGTGTTAGAAACAAATACTGGAATTGTATGGAGTTGAGGTGTCATCAGCCAGCCGTGATGAACCAGAAACTGGTGAAATTTTCAGCTATCAGGACTTCCCATTGTAAATGGGAGTGAAGTAACAACTCCCTGTGAACCTAAGGAGATAAACATGACATTTTGATATAAAACGCTGTGATACAAAATTTAAAAAAATGAATGTCAGCATGGGATATGCATTAAAAAACGTTTCTAAAAGAGAGACGGTTATTGAAATGCTCTGCTCTGTTCAGTGTTTATTATAATCAAATCACTAATATGAAGGTAAAATTCTATTTACCTTTTCCTAGTAGAGCTAAATACAGTTCATTATTAAGAGCAGAAACATTGGTGGTACTGATGCGCTGAAATAAAATCTATTTTTTATGAGCAACTAAAATAAACAAAATGTGCTTGTAAGAATTTTTCATTATAAGAGACCTAAATAAACAGATAGCAAGATACAATTTCTTGTTAAAAATATACTCCAAAAATGTTTGTTTCCAAAAATTTGATTGTTTGTATTCCTACATAGCACATCAAACCCAGTTCTCTGTGATTTCTACATGTTCACACACACACACACACACACACACACACCTAAATCTTTTTCTTTTTGTTGCACTTCTCCACACACTACACTTCAGTCAGTAAGGGTGCATTTCAGGATAAAGTTCATGCGTGGTTCACATTTTTTCTGCCTGTTCTGTTTTTAAAAATATGTATTTGTAATAATTTTTACATCTACCATATGTAGTCGACTTTGCACGTTTGAAACATAAAATATAAGATTAATTAATTAATGCGTGTAAACCTATAAAAAAAATAATGGCACTAGCAAAAAATTTGTGAAAGAACGTGTTGTCTACATCTTAAAAGCTGATAGCAGAGCACATAAATTAGTTCATCTTGTCAGAGCAGTTTCAATATTTCAGCTAAATACTAGCTGGTGAATAAATCTAGTAATATAATACTTGTTTTTCCATGCATTATGCATCTGCAAAAGATTCTAATTAAACCACCCAAGACTTCTGTTTAGTGTTTAGCTCTAAATTTCCTTGACCTTCTCTTTCATCATCAGACTACAAATACATTTTGGATAAAAACAATGTGGTGTCCATGTGTATATATTTTTTTCAGTATTGCCAGCTGTCTTAAAAAAAAAAGAAAAAAAAAAGGATAAAACCATTCAGAAGTAAAAACACTGCCTAAAATACACAGTGCTCTCAGACATGGCCATGACGTACTCTTTTGCAACTGACTCTTTTATTTCTCATGACGACTGCCTTCCTGCCAGAAAAATAAATAAATAAAAATAAAACTAGGTCACCAGCATCTTATGCTGTAATCCTGGTTCCCTGCAACCAGACATGGGCATTTACTGTATGTTCAGCCTGCTTACAAGTCCATGACACTCAGATTTCATCAATAGATGTTAACCCCTGACATGAATCGGGGTTAATGAAAATGCGCCAGACGTCTCGGAGTAGAAACTATACAAAAAGTTGCTTAATAATATTAACATTGCTCATAAATGTGTGTGTATAAATGCTTTGGTCCGAATAGAAAAAAAAGCTATCTTTGTTATTGAAATGTGTTCAGCAACTCTTACAAACATGAGTTTTATTTTTGTTACAAAGTTATAGAGTTCAAGCAGAGTTAAAATCTTGTGGAGTGTGTCTGAATGAATGAGGGCACCTACCATTCTCTCAGATGTAACAAAAATCTGCTTTCCAGATTCTTCTAATATAAACCATAAAATGCTAGTTAACCACAACAGACACGCTAATATCTAGATGACTCCAACACCCTAACTTTGAACCACTAGCCTGATTAGCACCGGACAAGCAGGAGATGGTTCCAAAATTTTATATAAAAAAACAGGTCATTTGTCAAAGAATGGGATGCTTTATCTGGCAACCGAGACGTGCGATTAGACACGGGACAAGAGGTTTCCAGACAGTGAGCTATTGAAAAGGGAACTCAGAAAGAGAGGCCTCGTGTTTCAGCACCGGGGTGAACCAGTCTAACACAAAACAGTCTATCCTGCTACTGTGTGCCTCAGTACTTTTGTAGCTTTAGCGGAGAAACCGGAGGCCTTTTTATCCCGGCAACCTGTGGAGTCAAGGCATGCAGTAGATTTGGTTGAAAATTAGCACAACAACGCTGACCTACATTTATGTCTTTGAGCAGTTCGAAACTAAAATATTACATCATGTTACGTGTTACACATTTAATAAGGCTGGCTCTGCTTGAACATTTGCGATAGTGATGCACAGTATTAAATGCAGTGTGAGGCCAAAGGCCTGGCAATACGGGCCTTACATAATAAAAGATCCTCTCTCATTATTGATTAAAGGCCGAAGCATCCCAAACTGGACGTCCTTTATTACATGGGACCACGCTGAATAAGCCTGCAAAGATATCAATAGATTCTCAGCATGAAAATCTTTCATAAGGCAGCTGAAATAAAATCTCTGTTTTTCTGCGCAGCAACAAAATGTGCTCAGGAAAAAATGTTCATGATAAGGGGTCTAAAATAAACAGATTGTTATAAACAGTCGCATTTTTTGAAGCTGCGAGTATGTTTGTATTCTTACATGCCACATTGTACCCACTTCTCTTTTATTTGATCATATGCTCACACACACACTCCCACACCCTCCTAAATCCTCTTCTTTTTTGGTGCACTCCTCCACACTTCAGGCAGTGCGGGAGCATTTTAGGATAAAGTTCATCTGCGTTTCACATTTTTCCTCCTGTTCCGCTTTAACAATTATGTAAATATCTTGCATTGACTGCTAATCTGAGTGTCTACCATATGAAGTAAAGTCATTGCTGCGTATATATCCTAACATCCCTCTTCAAACTCAATGTAAAAAATTGGCACCAGATAAAGTGTGCAGATTAAATCTCTCAGACTTCTCTGAATTTTCGTGAGCTTGCCTTTCATTAGACTATAAATACATTTTGGATAAAAACAATGTGGTGTCCATGTGTATATTTTTTTTTTCTCCACTGGTCCCAGCTGTCTTTTAAATAAAGGAGGAAACCATTCAGGGGGAAAAAATAAAATAAAAATAACTGAAATGATGGCCTAAAATACACAGTGCTCCCAGACACGATCATGATGTCCTCTTTTATTTCTCATACTGGATCTGCTTTATTACACGAGGCTGATATGAATAAGCCTATAGGGATATCAGTTGATTTTAACATGACCATCTTTCATAAGTGCTGTATGAATGAGACTTTTGTTAACGCCAAGAAGCCATAACAAAGGTCAGTGCACACATGCTATAATAATTATATTTCTATAAATACAAGAAAAAAGGAGGTCAGCGTATGAAGTTGTCGTGACCATTTTTCTTCATTTTACACAATGGCGCTCCCATTTACGAGGGAAATATGACACTAAGTGGAAACCATATGCAATGGTTGCATGCCATTGAAATATTTCCTGAATGTGTGTGCCAGTACGTAAGATGGGCATGTGACTACATGCCATCATTGTACGGCACTGTTTGCGAGCTATATCAGTGACGGCGTCAAACACGTCCACATTAATTATGTAGAGACCGAAGCGCCACTGAGGCATCCTACAGTTCACCTTCTTTATAGGATGTGACTTATTAGCAAAATGCCACCAACACAGGCGTTTGTACCATCAGCTATTCCTGGGCGGCCCGTGTTTATGTTTAAATCCAGTCAATGAACCTTATGAGAGTACTACAGAAAGCTGGGTGCCATCAGAAGTGCCCGCTTTGCCCCCCTTACCTCGGTGACTGCTGCACGGACTCTTGGGAGGCCAGTCTGCGCTGCCACTCATGTGTTAACATTGCCATAGCAACCCCTCTCCTTTCCCTTTCCTTGCCCACAACACACAGAGGGGACTAAATCCTCTATTCTTCACCAAAAAACGCACACTTGGGGGACATTTTTCGCAGCCCTCCAACGCAAAAGAGACAAAACTCCAAACATTTTATTTGACTGCGCTATTTGTTTATGCCAATATACGAATTGGAAACAAATGAGGATCCGTCCCTTTTTCCGCTCTGTAATCATGGCAGATTTTTTTTTTTCATGAAGAGAGCACCCCAGAATTTTACAAAAGACGCTATTTGCGTTTTTAGAATTACTTCGCCAGTCTTGCGACACAAAAATCTCCCATTAAAAGCACGGAAAAGATTTTGAAATTTGCAAGAGAAAGAAAGTACTTTGCAAATAAGGGAGAAATAATCATTGATGCAATGTGCGGAGTTTGATCACCGGTGCGACACACTCATTAGTTACAAAAAAGAAAGATGGCGGAGCACCATGAATTGTACTGAGTCAAGTGCCAGGTCTCAGCGAATGCCAGGCTCCTCCATACAAAACCGAGCTGGAGCAGCTGAAATACTTGTATGGCCGACACTCCGCCGTTAAGCCAAAAGTTTGTCTCGAAAAGTGCTTAATTTAAGGTTAATACGGGCTTTTCAGGGAGGTTTTGGGGATATACTCCTATTGTGGAGCTCATTTCTGTCTGTTACTCCATGACATTCATCCACTCTTTAGATTTACAAATTTAATAAGGTAATGTGAGATATCACAGAAGGGCATTTTTGTTATTACATGCACAGTGAGCTTTTCATTATAAATAATTTAATCATTTTGACTGCTTTTATAGCACGGATAGAGGACATAGAGCCTCCGCAATTATAATTCTGCTTAGAAATCCAGTTGGCATTAGGCAGACAATTCTCCTCTCTTAATTCAAGGAATATTACATAAATGGCCAGCTTTTACTGGAAATCAACATACAATAAAGTGCACACGCAAGCGACTTAACATTTAGTCTTTCATTTTGTGCTGTCATGCTTTTCTAATCTGACACAATAATAAAGGGCAAACTGTGCATGTATGTACAAATTGCATTTTCTTTAGTCTGTAGGCACAAATACTTTGGGAAGGTCACGTTCTGAACACTTTGCTGTCCTAATTGCTCAAATTCAGGATGAAAGGCAATATTGCCTTGCCTTATTACAACACTGCAGACCAGAACACTATTCCCAGAAGAGAACAGACATTCACCCGAAACACACTGCATGCTAAAGGAACTACAGAAAGCATGCATCCTGACCTTCTAACACATTTTACCATGTCATTCTGCCTGCTAACTTTTAAAAAGTAGCTTACTTTAGCAGAAAGTGATGTTTATTGTAGAGAGGCTTGAGGCAGAGTTGAGAAGCAATCCCCTGAGAGCCCATGATTCTAAATAATGATTTATAATGTGTGGTATCAGAGCCAGGGTTATGATCTGGAGTTAAATCCGACTTTGAGTACATTCTGTAGCACAAATACTTTGGGAAGGTCACGTTCTGAACACTTTGCTGTCCTAATTGCTCAAATTCAGGATGAAAGGCAATATTGCCTTGCCTTATTACAACACTGCAGACCAGAACACTATTCCCAGAAGAGAACAGACATTCACCCGAAACACACTGCATGCTAAAGGAACTACAGAAAGCATGCATCCTGACCTTCTAACACATTTTACCATGTCATTCTGCCTGCTAACTTTTAAAAAGTAGCTTACTTTAGCAGAAAGTGATGTTTATTGTAGAGAGGCTTGAGGCAGAGAGTTGAGATGAAGCACCCTGAGAGCCTGTGATTCTAAATAATGATTTATAATGTGTGGTATCAGAGCCAGGGTTACGATCTGGAGTTAAATCCGAGTTTGAGTACATTCTGTACCCATTAACAGTTGATAGTGCATGCTTGTCTAGATCTGCACCAGCTTTAAACTATAGGCACCCCCGAAAGGTTCGGGTTCGTCATCGCAAAGATCACTTTTGGAAATCGATTATGCGCCAATATTTCCGTGCTCCTCGCCGGCGATCAATCCGAGACTCGGGTCCCATTTTAACCCCCGTTTGAAGTAGAAATCTGGCGCGTGACGCTCCGGAATGGACAGACTATATACTATAGTAACATCACATAGGCACGTTGTAGCGTGCGAATAATCAAATTGGAAGCAGACGAGAACATTGAGCAACAAACTGTAAGAAACTGGTAAGTTAACCCTTTCGCTTCGTATTGAGGCACTAGTAACCTCCATCCGGCTAACGTTAGACGTTTCTCGCGAGTTTGAGTGTGGAGCGCGGCGCAATATTTTGGCTATTACCAAAATTTTTAACTAAGCACTCCCATTTACTGTCGCCATTTTATACATAGAGGCGACTTCACTCGCCGCATAAGAGTGGAATAACAAGGCACGCTTCTCTCTACTAGAACTACTTTTGAAGACTGTTCGCGTCACCTAAATAAATCGCTTTCACTTCTTTGAAAAGTCAAAGTTCCCTACCTTTTCGTCGGCTATGGTGACTGCGAATGGAAATCCGATATTGATACAGAAATAAATAACATTTAGGTTTCTCTCCGCTCCGGGTCTCAGGGGAACAGGAGGGGCCGAGACCTCTCCTCAGATGAACCCTGTGAACTAACGTGAACCCGTCGGGTCACCGCGATAAGGAGCATCTACTGCTTTATGGCACACTGATTATGTGCCCGGCTGACATGGGCGCTGCTGGAGTGGCGAGAAGGGAAAGAAATGTACGCCAGGCGCTCTCAAATAAGGGCACGTGATTAAAACGCGTCACCCAAACCCAAAATCCTGATCCTACCCCTCTCTGTTCTAGGACGGGCTGAGCAGACACACTGAAGGGAGTGACTCATGCGCAAATGTCTAATATAGCCAGAAATATGGAGCAGCGCTTTCGGTCAGTAGGTCGTATAAGGACGAGGGGGGAAAACAACCATAGTAGACAACTGATCGTGAGCATGTGCCTAGCCTACTACATATAGGCTACTACACACGCATGTTTGAAACCACCGTACGGAATAGAAATAGCTGTCCGCAATGTTACAACAGAGTAAAATAAAATAAAATAGAACAGAACACAATAGGATCTCTATAGCCACGCGACCAAACTGGAAATTGTTGCGCAACATGCAATTCATATTATTAGAATAGAATAGAATAGAATGGGAACTCCATTGATACACAACCATGTGGGGGGAAAATTAATGTGCAACATGCAACGGAATACACATGACCAGAATGGAACAGAATAGAATCTCATTAGCCACACAACCAAATTGAAAATTGGTGCGCAGCACGCTGTACATACTAATATTGAAAAAATATATATATATAGAATATGATCTCCAGTGCTAAACAACCATGGCCAGGGGAAATTAATATGCAACATGCAACATAATACAAGTATTATTGGTAGGCCTATTATCAATGGGATAGAATAGAATGGATGATGTTGATGTTGTGCAACATACAATTAAATACAGATATTATTTTTATCAGTATAGTAATATATAGCCATTATTATTATTATTATAACAGAATGGGTAGAGACTATTTTGCCACAATTACCAGTTTTTATTCCTGCTGTTATCTTTGGGTAATAATCACCAGAAATATTTATACATGTTATTAATGATGATAAATATGCACAGCTGTGCTCAAACGTGCCCTTGGTTCTGCCATTTTAACCATTAAAAGTTTCAGAAACAGTGATTACTACTTCTTTTTGAGAGGGTCATATAGGGTGAAAGTAAATCTGAGAGTGCCTGCTGTTGTGCTCTCTGAATTGATAACAACCAGTCAACCAGAGTGCAACAAACACCGGCCTGTCTATTATCAACAGGTTGTGTGATACTCAGTCCTTGTAGGTGCACACATAAAATACGTATAATGTTTCAAAGTCTTTACTTTTCTTTTCTTAGGAAGTGGTGGAAGACCTGCTATCCAGGGGCTCCCCCCTCACGCCACAGTGGCAATTACACCTTCAAACGTGCAGCTTTTTTCTTTTTTCTGTTTTTTTTTTTTTTTTGACAGTACAGGCAGAGATGAATCTGATTGGATAAAGCCCGAAAACACCTACTGTCCATTACAAGATGGTTGCCATGCGGTTTGGGCTTTTCCTTCATTAAGGCCTCAGCACAAATTTTTCATGGTGTAAATGCACGATGAACATAGTTTAGCTTTGTAAATATTATACAGAGGAAATTGAGGTTAGTTGTCACAGTGACTATATTTCAGTAATAAGCTTTTTAGTCAAAAGTCCAATGGCATAAATGTGTTTCTCTTGCAGTGATTTTATTTGTTGGTTTTAAACACCTAGTTCTAAAATTTTAAAGCAGAATATTTTTTATGAATTTTGTCCACCAAACTATAATGTCAATATATATAAATTTTGCTATAGCTATTGAATAATCACAATACCATATAGGCTAATCAAGACACGGTCAGTGAACTGAACTATATCGTTGAAAGGCTGACAATTTGAGATATTTGTTAGAGTGGTTTGCTGTTTATGTTATCTGTTACATTATTGCTATTATATGAAGGATTTTGTTTCATAATTGTTTTAATGTTTAAATTTTGCTGAAAGGCCTGGATGACAGGCTTAAAAAAATTCAAAGTGTGTTTAATAAACTGTATTGTTTCAAGCAATAATTAAAAAAAATGTAGAGTTAATGTTAAGTTAATGCTAATAAAATGTCTTTAAAGTTTGTGCCTGTGCATAAAAATAGCTATATATACATTATACAATGGTTTATTTGATTACAAAAGAATGGAGCTAGCATTTTTACTAGCATTACTAGCACTGCTATTACAAATGACCGATTAAGATTAGTATAGTACATTTGTATTAACAGCATTAATATTGTTATAAATAAAGAGTAATTTAAGCAAGAATGGCTGTTTTGGAGGAGGGCTTCTTGGACATGCCGCCATAATCTTAACTAATTTTATATTGGTGATTATATGGTGTATCGTTACCTGTATTTTATGAGGCCATTTAGTTTCACAACACCACCGTGAGTATTTCACATTCAACAACACAGAGGAGAATCATACACGCCGCCTTTGTTTGCCTCCGAATTCAAACTCTTGGCCAATAGGCGCAGGGCAGATTGTCCAATGGCGTTCTTACTTGGCGGACACGTGACGCAACAACTTGACTGGCGACAACGCACCGACCAATGGCCGTCTGGCGGTGGGCTGGACCTCTGAAAGTACAGCAGAGGAAACAGCAGGCGTCAGAGTGTAGTATTCATCTCAGGAAACGTTAGTGCGATTAATAAACTTTCAAGTATGGCGCTTTCACAGTGTCTTGAAGATTCGCCGGGCTGGCGGACACCGAGGACAGGCCAGGACCTAAACTTGAAAGAGCTTTACAATGAGAGACACCGACTCGCTCTGGAGGAGCTGGTCGCCGGCGGAGTCGAAGCCTTCACGGGATTCCTGCAGAGAGAGAGGATCCCTAACTTTCTCTCCGACGACGAGATCAGGCGCATCTCCCGCGCGGCTGTAGTGCGCAAATCACTCTCTTTGAACGGAGACGATTCTCATTTGGACCAGTCTGGCACACTGGACTGCTCATCTGTCACTTATTTCCCCGAGGTCTCTGATATTGAGCCTCCAGTTTTAGAGATGGGCTGGCCAGCGTTCACCGCGGGGTCTTTCCGTGGAGTAACACGTGCCGTCGCCTACTTCCAGCCGAGTTACGGAGAGTGCATTTATAGTTGCAAAGAAGCAGCCAGGAGGATGATAAAAAATGCAAAAGAGGTAACGTTATCTCTCAAGCCAAAAAAATTGTTTCAAAAAATTATATATAAGTGGACACGATACTGTTAGTTAATTCATCTGTAGCAATAATTCATCTGTTCTTCCCTTTGATGAACTTCACTATGCACACTGTTCTAAAGCAACTTTACAAAAATAGTGCCTCAATGACAAGCTTTAACATTTAATCATTACTATGAACACATCTATTAAGTATATTTTTCTGTTACTGGTATTCATTCTTAAATTACTAGTATGTAATCCAATAGTAACTATTATCTTTTTAAATTGTACTGTTCAATAGCGACTAGTACTTATTCCAAAAGAGACTACTTCGTTTCAGTTAGTGACATTACTACTTGTCATTATCCCAACAGTGACTAGTAACTATTCCATTGTAACAATTGAAGTTAAATTTACCAGATTTAATTCTGTGTAGATTTGGTAGATGTGGTTCATATATCAGCTATTCATTTCCAACTAGTATGTATTCCAGTTGTTGCTGGTACTTATTTTTAGATGTTTCCAGTAACTAGTTATATATTCCACCTTTTCTAGTTCTTTTTAAACAGATATTTATTAAGCAGTAGTGTAGCTACTAAAAACGAGTAGCTAATAAATAGCTACTAATGAAATGGAAACAGATGTCTGTCTCTGTTGAATTAATTAATAAGTAGCAAAAATAGATCAGAATCATTTAGAAGTAATATTTAAATGTCATAACACCTTCATTTAGTTATTTTTTTATTTATTGTCATTAAGTTGAGAAATTAGTTTGTTTTCAGATTTCCCAGTTGAAACTTTTAACAGGATTAAAATAATATCAAAAATCAAGCAACAGCAATGAAAAGAATAACAATGAATTCAAGATTATGATGATTTAAAAATCTCTAATTTCAGTTGTATTAATAAAAAAAATATCAGCCTTTGGGTTTTTTAGGTGATGGAAGGGTATGTGTGTGACTTATTCAAAGTAGCACTCTGGATCTTAAATGTGGAATGGTAAGAATGCACAGAAGCGTCTATCACACTGAACTGTTACCTCTAACGGTCTGAACCTGCAGGTGCCACAACAGGCTCTTCAGTCCTTCAAATGAAGGGGGTTTTGAGCTGAATGTATTGAGGTTATACCTGCAGGCACCATGGATCTGTTCCAGCTTGCATGTACTTAAAAACCAAATGTAATAAGAAATCATCAAGGTGTGTAGCCAGCGGCTGTGCAGTCATGACATTCATACGAATGAGCTAGAACATTGAGTTCACTGATGCTGAAGCTCTAAGATGTTAATTCATTATCATTTCCCACCATGTTTAGCCAAACAATACTTAGTTGCATAAAGATATGTTTACTGCTGTTAATTTCTCATTAATCAGAAATGATTTTTATCCTTAGGTGATTGCCATTGTGACAGACTCCTTGACAGACCTGGATATCTTCCAAGACCTGCAGGAAGCTTGCACACGCCGCAGAGTTCCTGTGTATATTCTTTTAGACCAGTCTTCTGTTCCCTCATTCTTACAGATGTGTAAAAACCTTCGTGTACAGCTGGATGAACTGCTGGTATGAGTTCTTCATGCTAATATTATTGTTGTTTTTATGTTTAATATATATTTAGTATTTTTTAATTGCATTTTTAAAATGTGTTTTGTCTTATTTATGAAGCAAATGAAAGTACGAAGCATAACAGGTTCTACCTACTACATGAGATCAGGTGCTCGGATCACTGGAAAGGTTCATGAGCGTTTCATGCTGATTGATGGAAACAGAGTGGCCACAGGTTCATATAGGTAATAAAGACCCCTTTTCCACAAGATCTTGAAAGTGAAAACTGTATGACTTTCTTGCTTCTGTGCAACACAAAAGAAGATATTTTGAAAAAATGTCTTTTTTGTCTATACAATGAAAGTCAATGGGGTTCAATATTGTGTTGGCTTTCAAAGTATGGACAAAAACATTTTTTCAAAATATGTAACCTTTCGGACAAAGTA